AAAAAAAAAAAAAAAAAAAAAAAAAAAAAACCAACAAAAAAAAAAAAACATGAGCTGACACGATAATTGAAACAGGAACTCAGTGGAATTAATTATATCTTTTGCCATAAACAGGGTCTACAAATTTGAGTTTTTCTATCATAAACAGTGTTTTCAGAATCCCAGCGGAACACCCCTATACCCAAATCCTGGCGGAGTACCCCCCCTCCCCCCCTCCCCGGAAAATATATTCATGATCCAACTGCACTCAGTGGAGTACAAATATTGCAGGAGAAAGCCGAGTGCGAGTAAAAATATCCTGCGGTATTTGTACTCTGGGTCATTTTGGTTATTTTTGTAAAATATTTCAATTTGTAGATACCAATAGGTTTTTCATTAATCTTTAAGAGGACTTTATTTTACGTATTTTATCAGTGAAAAACAAATCAATATTTAATCTAGTTGCAAAACTGCTTTGATATTAATGGTTTAACGTTCAATTGAAAATTATATAATATTCAATAATATATTAAAACATAATTGCAAAAACTTTGTCATATTAAAAATAGAAATTAATTGGTATATTTTTCGTTATTCTGATTCTAACAGGTTGGTAATTATAGCAGTATTGTCTTATTATATCTTTAAAAAACTCATTAATAATTCATGAAGGAAACACAATAGAAATCATGACCATGAAGGAGGTTTTATATCTCATATAGATTCGTCTTCATTTGCATAAACTTTAACTTGGATTTTCTCTATCAAACTTGGTTCATTTCGTAAAGAATTCGGTACAGTATGAGAACATACATCAGGAGTTTTTTAAGCCGTTCAATAAACTCTCAGATCGTGTTTTATCGGGTCTAAAACCACTCGGCTACGCCTCGTGTTTTATACCCGATAAAACACTCCCGCTCGTTTATTAAACAGTACATATTCATACTACGTTTATGTATTCCATATACAAAATGGTTGTTTGTATGGAATAAAGATATCAATTATGTCCATCCCCATTTGCCGAACCCGACAGCTGCTGAAACTTTAATTCAGGCTTTTGATGTTGGATTTGACCGTGTCTACGGATCGAGACGGACGTGAATGCTAAGAATGGTAGAGCGCAGCACTTAAATTAATGAAATCCAAATATTTTCTCCGTATAAATACGCGATATAGTGTAAAGCTACATTACGGTTTAGCTGTCCAGTTCAATGATTTCATTAGATTCTAGCTTGAGAAATTCTTTCAATTTCTTTATGGAAGCTTTTCGGAAATCTTTCACTCGCCAAAGGTAGATTACAGGATTGGTTGTAGAAATTAGGATAACGAGAAGCTCGCTCAAAACCAGTAATTTTACATGAAAAAGTCCTGCATCGTCTTCCATCCATTTTTCTGTAAATCTGAATGCCATTGCGATAACAACGCACAAATAGGGCAGATAAAAGATTAATATAGAGATAAAGACAAGTAGCATGGTCTTTAGCGATCGTCGATATTTACAGACATCAAAGGTGTAGTTTTCTGGAATCGTGGGCAGTTTTGGATCAGCATTTTTAGCAGCAACTCTTTCGCCTGTAGTGACTTTAACTACCGGCTTGGATAGTTTTCTTAAGGTATGGAAAGATAAAGCATAGCACACAGTAATGACTGCAAGCAAGCTACAGATAATGACAGCAGGAACGATAAACAGTAGATTAGATGACTCTCCGTTCGAATTCATAAAAATGTTCAACACCGTCACGACCAGAGCTTTAAGCCACCAGAACACCAGAGTACGGATAACTCGCTCCAAAGAAACAGTGGTGCGATATCTGTTCTTGAGATTGATGGCCAAAAGACGGTCAACACTTATCAAAGTCAGAGTAAACAGAGACACGGAACCCAGCCAATACCCAACTACGCGAGAAGTAGCGGACAACAAGCAAAATAGCTTATTCCAGTTCTTGAGTGCTGCAATGTTGATCATTACCGTCATGGGCTGAACAATTGCTCCAACCAATAAATCTGTCAAGGCAAGATTCGCTAGTAGAATATACGAAGGCTTGTGTAGCGTCGAAGTCTTCCAAATCGTGAAAAAAACCAGGGTATTCAGAGAAACTGCAGAAATAGATGTCAGTGAATAACCTGTAGCTACACCCATTCGATAGCCATGCGACTGAAAGCTGAAGGCATTCTGATAGCAAAAATTACTTTGGTTCATATTTATCGAGCGTACGTCTGTCGACTAGGTTGTGCTAATGATATTTGAAAGTGAATCAAATCTCTCACCTCCTCCAAATGCCGTTTTTTTCCCCCTGCCGCTAATGGGCAAAATATACTAAAAGCAGGAATTTTATTCGTCAATGATGGACAGTTAGGCTTTTAGCCTTTTGAAGCATTGCACTTTAAGACGTCATACTGATTAGTTCGCGTTAATAGTATTTTTATCCATAAAAGGGTTTAAAGAATGAATAATTAAGAAGAATAAGCATTATTTTAGACATTTTAGTATTTACGACAACGCTAATTGAAATCAATTGAAGGCGGCGGGATTTGATTGTTCCTTACTTACTTCAACGAACTGAAGTTTGAAATATATATATTGAGGGAGATTTCTGACTGAATTAAGTAAATATTTTAATCCAAAATCCCGCCTCAAGCTCAGCTAATCGATAAGTTGTATACAAATATATGTATGGTCATCAGTACTACTAACTAGGCATTTGCCAGAGCGGAAGTAATTAATACTAAACCGTTTTTTTWAAAATTTCAGTGAATTTCGTCTTTTCTTTGATATTCAAGTCTGAAATCTGGTCCTCTCTAAATGGGTCACAAACAGCCTGAATGCCGGACGCAAGCAATATGTTCAGAAAAATGACAGGCTATCAAAATATAGATGTTGCTTTTGGTGTTCCCCAAGGCTCAATTATGGGCCACTAGTCATTTTGTTAAATCCTTATGCCAACGTTTTATCTCATAACAAGATATCGAAAAATGATAAATGCTATTAAATATAATAAATCAAATATTTTTAATGATTTGTATGGGAAAAGTGTTGGCTGGCAACCCCTCCTTGCCATCCAGCGCATACAAAGCTTTACTGAAATATTTGATTTTATATTATTAAATGTCATTTCTCCGTTTTCGGCGCTCGTTATGAGATAACACTCGGCCACCCTACTAATCTAGAGGCGCTCTTTTCATCTCCGATGTTCATTTTTGCACAGCTGTTTATATCAAGAGAGGTAGGGTCACGTGACTTGTTAGTGCAAGTCGTCTTATTCTGGTTTGAATTAGCCATATACTATGAAGTTTACCGCTGTACTTTTCGTTAGCGATTTATACTCTTTGTAATAAGTTTATCAATACTCCGTACAGTAAAATAGAAAGAAAGTTCACTAATGCTATAAGTAAACCACATTAAGTAACTATTACTGGAAAAAAAGCATACATCACTTCAATTCGAACAGACAAAAGAAGTTCCATACAAGTCCATTTCATTGATTTTGTTATCGATTTTGTTACAAATAAAGCATGATTCCTAGATAGCGAATTTTCGCAATATACATAAAGACAAAAAACGAGATTGGGCTGCCTGTGCTCTAAATATAACATGTCAACCATTACATTCCGTAAATTCCTGAGTTTTGACGCTGTCCTGACAACGTTGATAAAGGTCATTTCTGGTTCAATGAGTATCGCGTATTTGTCGATTCCTTCTCACGGTCGTGCACAGCTTTGGAGTCTTGCTTGGATGCATCACTGAAATCTCTGGCTTGCCATCGTTTTAGTTTTTACAAAGAGTCCCATATATTTTCTTTGAGATTGTTTCTTCAAAGATGGCGAGAATAGACGAAACCTCGCGTAATCTTGCTGTAGTGGATTGGGTGATCATCGCTGCTTACTTCGTCTTGTGTCTAGGAGTTGGTTTATTTGTGAGTATATTTGAGTAAAGTTAGAGACCTATTCTCACTTAGAATATATATTTGAATATATATAACTGATGCTTCCATGAGGATACGTTGGTCTATAATATGAACAAACGAGTCTTTATTCTAGTATTTACGCATTACGCGTCAATGGTATGCATAGTAATTAAGATAGCATACTCTACTTACAGAGAGTTTGCAGAGATATTTTAGCCTGTAACTCAGCATTACGCAGGGAATTAGAAACGCTTACTTTTTAAAGCTCTAAGTAAATGTTTTTCACTTTTTAACAATAGAAAGCTGCTGAGGAAAAATATATATATATATAAATTTTCATTGTTCTATTAAAAATTACATGAATTCGTCTGTTGTTATTTAGAAAACAAAGTTTGTATTCCGAACACTATAATGTACGAATACTTGATGCACTTAAAATCATATTTCCAAAATCTATACATTACGGATATTTTTTTGTTCAAATTACAGAGTACTCGGAAATAGAGTTTTCGTGTGGTGTTTAGCGAAATACGTCTCTCAATGCATGCTCGATCCAAGGTCTATTGTGAAGTGTAATCAAGTCTATGGTGTATTTTGGTCTACTATTTATGAACGGACTAAAGTTTTTATTTAATCGATATCGATTTATTTTCCCGTAAAATTGTGAGGGATCATTGCTGTTTATGTTTTGAACTTTTTATCTCAATTGAAATTCAAAGGGACAAAAATAGTTTTGTAAAGTGAATTTAGTTTAAATAATTAATATGAGATTCATTAGTATAGGAAATCGCACGATCTCGAGTACAATTTGGAAATTAATAGACACGAGTAATGTTTTGAAAGTTCTTGTAATTGCACGAGCCTTTAGGCGAGTACAATTAAAGAACTTTCAAAACATTACGAGTGTCTATTAATTCCAAATTGTACGAGAAGATCGTGCGATTTTTTGTTTATAGTTCACTCAACAAAATTTCAGTAAAAAAATGCGAAGCGACGCCGTTCGTCTTTGTCTATTTGGCGGCCGATTTCCAGTCCATCGTGCAACTGAAATGCATAGAAATATTAGTTCTTACGGCTTTAAAATTTTATTAATGCTTTTTAAGTACAAAATGATAGAAAATAATTGTTTTGACATTGTTTTGGCCGTGTTACCATACCGACTTAATTCGGTACTCCTACGGAGTACAATTAACGCTATAATTGTACTCCTCTCGACCAATCAGAGTCGAGTAATTTTGTTGAGTGTACTATAAGTGAGGAAATCGAATGAAGCGTTAAGGAAATAACACGACAGATTGAAAAGTTTGAAATTCGTTGTTTTTCACCATAAAATCGCAGGGCTTCCCATAGATTGTGTAAAATAATTTAAAGTAAACTTTTGCTTAATTGAAAATAGACTGAATATTGTGTGCGTGACAACATTTGAGTTTCAACCAGAACATTGTATTACTATGACTTCATAGTTTATTTTACCATTCCCCTCTCCATTATATGATAAGTGTTCTGATTTCGTGTCATTATACATGGGATTTCATCTGTCCTTGACCTATAGCTGGTACCCGAGCTGGTATTGCACAAATCCGAGTTGTTTGATGAAGCAACACAATGTTCAATATGATCGTGACCTTTGGGATGAACTAGAAAAATCTTAGGCCCCGTCCGTACGTATCCGCAAATATTTGCATCCGCAAATTTTTTTTGCGGATACGAAAATGTTCGTGCCCACACGCAGCGTATTCGAATCGTTTTCTCTGTCCACACGTATCCGGAAATTTCTTGATCCGCCCTAATGCACGCTAGTGCCTAGTCCCTTTGACGGATAGTTTTTCTTATTGAGCATGCGCAAAATCGTGTTTACGTCAGCATATTCGAAAATTTGTGGATACGACCGTCCACACGTATCCGTATTCGGAGCGTTTCCGAAAATTTCCGGATATCGATACAAAAATTTCCGGACACGTGTGGACGCAATCCGTATCCGCAAAAAAATAAATTGCGGATACAAAAATTTTCGGATACGTCTGGACAGGGCCTTTAGAATGACGTTGGGTTAATAATGCATGGCATGCATACTTAATTATGCGATCAACATACGAGTTTTTGGATTCGGTCAGACCATTGGAAATTTGAATGACAGAAACCAAATTCGAATGATTACTCTAGTTGTCACAAACGGATTGAAATTACACAATATTCTTACTACTTAACCTCTTAGCCTTCAATCATCCTTTATTGTGTTTATATCAGTCCAAGTTCAGAAAGCAAAGGGGAGAAGCTGAAACCGCCGAAGGGTACTTCTTGGCTGGACGAAAGATGCTATGGTGGGCGGTAAGTATGGGATTCCTGTGTTTTTGTGGTTCATGATGTCATTGATGTTTTTTGTTACGAAATTTTGAATTTATTAGTGATAAACATAGTAGTGATATTAGCGATAAATTAAAAAAGTCCCCTTGCGACTAGAAATAAGATGAAATCAAAAACTCAAAGCAAGGAAAACGTTTCTTTTCCATTGAAAATGTGAAGCAAAACGCGCCCTTAGCCCCCCCCCCCCCCCCCCCCTTCTCCATTTGGGAT